AACATTATACAATGTTTTTGCATCCTCTTACAATGTAAATGTGCATGCAGATTGGTATTATTGATATTCAGTTTCTTTTTAAAATGATTTTATAAAAATACTTGATATAAAAAGTATAGTAAAAATGTAGTAAATTATCAGCCACATTGTCATCTTTTCAATAAGTTATTGTCTACACAATTCTAAGGAGTTTTTTCTATTTTTTTTTTTTTTTTACTTAGCATATGCACTATATCCTGCATAAAATGTTCTTATATTTCACAGGAAAATGAGACCCAAAAGAGTTTCTCCTGAAAAGGAAGCCTTGTACTTCATTGCTTCGGGGAAAGATAAAGACACATTCGAGAAAAAATTAATGTGTGAAGAGAAAGGTAAGTTACGGCATTCAATTCTGCCATCAGTATGACTTTGCAAAACTTAATTAAAAGCTAAGTTTGGTCTCTAAATAATGTCGAATGGTTGGGTTTAAAATGTGTAGCTAAAAACAACAGGCTGTTAAAAAAAACACAAGAGAAACAAAAAAACATGATTGAATCAGTTAAAGGTGGATTTATATCTGTTTTCCTGCCTGTATTTATGCTAGCTGCTGATGTCCAAATTAAACTCCATTGTGTAGATGTGCGAGTGATCTTGATATTATTTGTATGTAACTGCCAGTTAGACTCCGGGGCCTGTTTAACAATGGAAATTATCAATATTCAGTGTCATGATACATATGAGTTTTGTAGTTTTGCACTTTTAGATGTAGATATCGTATTTGTTTTCCAAGCAGGGCTACCATTTAAAACAGTTTAGACAACCTTAACAACTTTATGAATCTTTTCTCATACTTAATTTACACTTATTTATACCCAATTTATTAGGTTTTGGAGTAATCGCCACAAAACATATTGAGCCAGGAGAATTCCTACTGGAGTATGTTGGAAGACACATGGCTGGATCTGAAGGAGAGACCCTGCTCAAAGACTACTCAGCTGAAGATGCAGTTTTTTTTTATATTTCTACTCCTTTCAGGGACAATCTTACTGGTAAGATTAAATTAATGAATGTTCTAATGAAGTATAATTACATCATATTATGGTATGTTTATATACAGTGTTTTTAAAATATTTCACCATACAGTGTTGATGGCAGTAAAGCTACAGAAAATCTCGGACGATACATAAATGATGACCACATCAAGCCAAAC